CAGCAGTGAGACCCGCCCCCAGGGGACCCAGAGACCTACCAGACTGGTTCTCTCTCATTGAATGTTCCAGGGGCTGGGCTCTTCCTTTGTCTTACCAGTCCTGATTCTTTTTCTTGTCTGGAGATACTTGTCCAGAGACACTTAGACACTCGGAGGCCAGCTCTCAGTATCTTAGCCCCACAGGTTCAGTGCAGGCGGCAGAGCCATTCATTACCTTCCAGGGAAATCCCTCTTTTAGGGACCGGAAAGCACTTCTTTCCCAGGATTGAAATAACCTGGGAAGCATGGAGGGGGGACTGGAGCAAAGTGAGGCTGATTGGCTGGACACATATTGTGCTGATAGGGCCCCCCCCCCCCCACCGTGGCCCAGATTTGGCATCATCTCTTGGGATGCCTGCTGCCATGCTGGCTGCCCCAAGCGGCTCCATTGATGAAATCACTCGCCAGGCACATCTGTGACCCGACCCCTGCTCAGAAGCCACTGGACGGACCTGCTTGCCCTATTGTTGTTGTTGTTCAGTCACTTAGTTGTGTCTGACTCTTTGCAACCCCATGGACTACAGCACACCAGGCTTTCCTGTCCTTCACTATCTCCAGGAACTTGCTCAAACTCATGTCCATTGGATCAGTGATGGCCATCCAACCAATCTCATCCTCTGTCACCCCCTTCTTCTGCCTTCAGTCTTTCCCAGCATCAGGGTCTTCCCCAATAAGGTGGCTGTTCGCATCAGGTGGCCAAAGACTGGGGCTTCAGTTTCAGCATCAGTCCTTCCAATGAATATTCAGGACTGATTTCCTTTAGGATTGACCAATTTGATCTCCTTGCAGTCCAAGGGACTCTTAAAGAGTTTTCTCCAGCACCACAGTTGTATGAATTGACTTAAATTTAACTTGCTCGAAGAAAAAAAAAAAAAGAAAAGAAAAAAAAATTTAACTTGCAAAAGATAATCACTTTTTTCTCTTAACTCAAAGTTTAACTCCCTGCACTTTTAAATTACATTGAAAATATGTACCTGTAAACCTATTTACCCCCTATCTTAAATTTGTGTTTACTGAAGTCTCACTCTCTCCTTCCTCATACACCACCTCTGTTCTTTTTCTCTGCTCCCTCCCATCCCCGTTGAGTGCTAAAGCAAATCCTCTAGAGAAAGCAAAAGTCTCTGCGTATTGATACGTTGCTTCTAAGTGTTGACCCCTTCTCCAAGGAGCTCAGCCGTCCAGTCAGGCATCTCTGCAGACCTTGGAGACGCGTCTTCCAGGATGCCTGAACTCACACTCTGGAGGCAGCTGGGACGCGGTACTTGCCCAGGAGATGTTGTGGGTACCTGGGGAGGAGGAAGGGCCATGGCAAACATCCTGCCCAGAATGTATGCTGTGTTTTGTTATTTGAACAAAATGATTCTGAAATAGAGCAAACCCTACCCTCGTTACTTTAAGAGCAGTGTTCCCGTTTCAGTCTCCTGTTGTTTGTAGCTATCACTGAAGCAGCAGCTCCCATCTAAAGAAAAGGGAATCTTGCTTGCCCCTGTGTGTGTATCAGCGGCCCCTGTCCTTCCTGAATGGGCGAGTCATGGTGTGGGACGTGGTGGGTCAGCTCGTAGTCAAAGCTGTCATTGCATCACCACGGGAGCACCTCCAAGGTGCCGCAGAGACAGGATCACCCCTGTGTGGGGGGTGGGGGTTGCCACGTGGCTGGCACCTTGCCTAGGCACTACACATGACAAGAGTCTTGTCACCATACCCGCCATCAGAGAGGTGGAGAGGTCTGTAATCCAAACTCATGTGGCCTTCCCTGACCATCAAGGAAGGTGCTGGCATCTGCCTTTCAGAGTGTTTCCTTCCCTTCTCCATACAACTACTTATGGCAGCGTCAGTCTGGGTACTCAGGCCTTCTGTTCCTGCTGCCCTGCCCATGGCAACACCAGGGCCAAGGACCTGGGCCTCTCACCATGCACCCCTTGCAGGCAGCACCCATCTGCCTGTTCTTGGTCTAGCTCTTTGGAGGCTGCAGGGGGTGCAGCCCCAGGGTGCCTCAGGATGTCCTCTCGTTGCCTTGATTGTACTGGGTTCTACCCTGTGAATTCCCTAGAGGTCAGATGCAGGTGGAATGACTGAATCCCTGAACCTCTTTAATACCCTGGTTCCCTTGGGGGCTCCATGGATGGACCCTTGTCCCCTTCTTGGAGCTTCAGCTTCCAGTACTGTCCTGAGCCCAGTGAATCCTTAAAGAGCTCATATTTGCAGGACTTAAGACAAACCCTCTTTCTAGTTTCTCTACCTGTGGTCTAGTCCCACCATTCTGCCACCTGCACCATGAGCCTGATGGTCTGTAACCACAGTTCAGAGCCCCAAGTAGTCTCTGACTCACAGTATAGGGTCTTGCGTGACACTGGGCGGCACACCACTGACAGATATTTCTAGACCAAAGGCATCCTCTTTGCTAATAACCTAGTGATGGAGCTGAAGATAAAGTAAGATCTGCTGACATGGTGAAGCCACTGGCTCCGACGCAACCAAAAGGCAAAAAGTGGTTCAAACTGCCTGAGCTGCCAGCTTAGGGAAAAGGCATGGAGTGGTGCAGAGTTGAGGCACCTTCTCTGGCATCACTTTTAGAGGTGTCTCTACAGTTGACTCTCCCATCAACCCATCTCCATCACTGAGGCCATTCTGCATTTCTTGCCCTGGTACCCTCACAATAAATTCTGCCCCCCCCCACCTTTTTTTAAATTGTTTTTTGCCTAAACTTTGTAGGGTTTGTCTCTCTTACTTGCAAGCAAATGACCCCTACTTGATACACTCTTCAAAAGAGAGTGTATCACTACATGCTATAATACAATCAGAGATGATATCTCATCACCCCAGCCAACAGAGGCTGTCCTCTTCTGCTCACTCTCGGGCATGTAGCTGTACAGACCCCTGACAACCCCACAGGCAAACTCTCCCCACATCACCCCACCCTTCATATCCACACAGATATCCATAAATGGTACACACTGTCAGCTATCTTGCTGAGCAACAGATGACCACAAACTTAGCAGCTTAGAACAATGCACATTTATTATCTCATCGTTTCTGTGGGTCAGAAGTCCAGGCAGAGCTTAGCTGGCCCCTCTGCCTGGTTCTCACGAGGCTGCAGTCAAGGGTCAAATGGGTCTGGGGTCTCATCTGGAGGTCCGACTGGGGAAGGACCCACTCCTAAGCTCCCTTGGGATGTTGTCAGAAGTCATGTGCTTGTGCTTGTAGGACCACAAGGTCTGAGAGCCTGTGCTTCTTGCTGACCATGATCTAAGTGCTGCCTGCAGTTCCCAATCATATGGCTTCCCCAGGGAGGCTGCTACTTCAAGTCAAAAGGAGACCCCTAGAGTGAGTCTGCTGGCAAGACAGTGTCTGCGTGCTGTAATACAATCAACAGATGACATCTCACCACTCCTGCCATATTGTGTTGGTTAGAAGCCAGTCATAGGCTCTGTCCACACTCAAGGGGAGGGGATTACACAAGAGCAAGACACCAGGAGGTGGGGATCATTGAGGGTCACCTTGGGGTCTATCCATCACCCACATCAAAACGTCATCACAAATGACCCGTCAGGATGTACTTGAGCCAAATATATCTTGAGAAGAAAGAAAACAAAAATTCATCAGAGTTCTGTTTTTACGTTCTATATTTGTATTTGAATGCAGCTTTCATACATATCAATAAATTAGATTTGGATGACCCAAAGTGTTTTTCATGTTATTTCATGGTAGAAACAGCATCTTGCTTTCACCTAAGGATGTTTAGAATTAAAGCCATGTCTTATAATGATTTCTATGTCTTCTTTAGGTGAATACCATGGGCTTACTCTTCCATACACTGACCTAGACCCTGAGGAACCAAGCTGAGCCACACAAACGTGGTCTCGACCTCCAGGAAGCTTGCAAATGAATTCTCTGGAAACAGGAAGAGGCTGGGGGATGGGGAGGGGTGGACCATGGAAACACGTGGGAGGAAGGTCCATGTTGGGGGAGAGGGGAGTGGAGAAGCGGGCTCTCCAGGTGCTAGGAATGGCCTGCGAGGTGAGCCACAGAGCAGAAGTAGAGGGGGAGGTGGGCCATGGGCAAGGAATGAGCCTGACGAGGGAAGCTGGAGTGTGAAGGGTGTGAAGGGCCTCAGAGTCAACCATGGAGCAGCAGCCTGTGGGTGCAGGAGCGGAGTGACTATCGGATTTGTAGTTTAGATCCTTGTGGCTGTGGTGCTTGTTTTAGGGGAATATCATTGTGGTGAGTCAAGCAGAAAGACCCAAGCTAAGGCAGAACTTGGGACGTGCACCTGATCCCCTGATTTTCTTATGGCACAAAATTCCAGGGCACCAACTCAGATCCGTTTCCCAGAGATCATAGAGAGGTACAAACTTCACAATGAGAAAACCTTTGGGGACCAGCTATTTCTTCACCCAAAGTCAGCAACAGTGAAAGGCAGGAGACAGAAGGCAGGTCCCGTTCCTCGTGCTTGGAAGATGAGCTGGGGAAGAGCTCACCCAACCCAGGAGATGTGTCTCCTGGAGGGCTGAGAGTCTCTGCTTGTCTCACCTTTAGATTTGGCTGTTGATGTTACACGATGGACAGAAAGAGTAAATGACTGACTTTTGAGACGAGGAAGCTTCTTCTCTCTTTTTCCAGCTTCTAACCTTCATTCCTCTGTAAAAATGGCTAGGGACTTTCCTGGTGGTCCGATGGTTGAGAATCCGCCTTGTAATGCAGGGGACTCGGATTCAATCCCTGGTCGGGAAACTACGATCCTACATGCCACGGAGCAGCTAATCATTCCCTGTGCCGCAGCTACTGAGCCTGCAAACCACAGACTAGAGTCCATGCACCTCAAGGAAAGATCCCACGTGGCAGAATGAAGATCCCATCTGCCGAAACTAAGATCCGATGCCATAAATAAATAGATAGATAAATAAATAAAAGAAGGGCTAAATGTTATGTGCAAGGTGGCCTGTAAACAGCTTGGACACCTAGTGGTAAACAAACAACGCTTTATTATTTTTTTCTCTTTCATTAAAAAAATCAGAACATTGATAACAAATGAGAGCTCGGACCCCCAGGTTCACCCTCACATTAAGCAAAGTAGCCCCAGAGAAAGATGGCACAGCTGATGCAAATGATGAGGCTGAGGTCCAGAAGGGTTTTCACCAAGGGGTTTTCTTCCAGGGAAACTATGACTGGGTCCGCTCTGCTCGGCGCCTGCTCCTTGCCCTTGTTCTCCATCCCACAGAGCCACAAGATGGCTTTCACCACTTTGGACCGCTTTGTGGTCGTGTCGCCTAAAAAGGACACGACAGATAAAGGTCATAAGGGTGAGCTGTGTCTCCCAGACAAGAGGGAAGAGAGCCTCATCCGGTATGTTTCAGGCACTGTGATAAAAACTTCATGTATACTATCAAGTGTGAAACAGATCGCCAGCCCAGGTTGGATGCATGAGACAAGTGCTCAGGGCTGGTGCACTGGGAAGACCCAGAGGGATGGGATGGGGAGGGAGGTGGGAGGGGGGATCAGGATGGGGAACACGTGTAAATCCATGGCTGATTCATGTCAGTGTATGGCAAAAACCACTACAATATTGTACTTAGCCTCCACTAATAAAAATAAATGAAAAAAAAATGTTCCTCTTCTGGAAGGTATTTGCTAATAATACCTTAACCCTGGAAGACTGTTGAATTCTGAAAGGTTGGTGTTTTCAGACTTTTCATGATGTTTATGTGCATAATTTCAGATGAGTTTCAGCCTCTCAGATAGAGGCTCAGAGTAACTTGAGTGAAGCACAGAGCGAGTCAGCAGAGGCAGAGATGGGCTTAGGACCTGCTCGATCTGACTCCCTGTCTGTGTGTGGCACCGCCTGCCCAGAGGCTGAAGGGAGACAGGCACTCTTGCAGGGAACTCTGTCTCCACTCAGAGCTGGGGCTGTGAAATCAACTGCGGATGGAGCCAGGCAGGTGGCCTATGGGAGTCAGAGGAGCTGATTTTCTTCTTACACATGTCACCTCTACCAAGAAAGAGTCTTTCTCTCATGTTTCCTAAGCACACGGCCTTCTGCATCTATCCTTGCATTTCCCACTAGAGGATGCCATGGGTTCATAGCCACAATTATTTTTTTTTAAGCCATTTGCTATTGTTTAGTCATCCAGTCATGTCCCACTCTTTATGACCCCATAGACTGTAGCCCTCCAGGCTCCTCTGTTCGTGGGATTTCCCAGGCAAGAATACTGGAGTGGGTAGCCATTTCTTCCTCCAGGGGATCTTCCTGGCCCAGGGATCGAACCAGAGTCTCCTGCATTGGCAGGAAGATTCTTTACCACTGAGCCACCAGGGAAGCTCCTTTAAAAGCCATGTGTGGTGATTAATGACAGCCACAGCCTTGGAGTCATGTAGGCAGAAGGGATTGCTGGGGACTTTGACTAACTGTATATCCCAGGTCTGAGGACCAGCTGCTTTGCACCTCCAGGCAACTTTTGCCAGGCAGGCATGTGGGCTCCATGCTGCCAGATCTTCCAATTGTTCAAAAGAAGGTGGAAATCTGGAATGTTGTGAAATCTCCTGATTTTTAAATAACTCACATTAAAAGAGTAGGTGGCCTAAACCAAAATATATCTGCAAGCTGCGAGTTTAAAACCAGTAATTTAGAGAATGCCTACCACGTAGGGTTCTGTGAGGATCCAGTGAACTGTGTTTTAGTAGGCACTCAACAAACGTTGGCTCTCATTGTCCACCTGAAGCATCTGTCGAAAGTTCCTAACCCTTTCAGTGGCCAGAGAGTGAGGGAAGACCAGATCCTGGGAATGAGGAGATGCTAAAATGTCAAGTGTGGCCCTTTACTTGCTAGCGATATGATAGAAAAATTTCCTCTTAAACACATTAATGCTTCTTGAGGTTCCTAACAGTAACCTAGGAAAAAGGCAACTCACAGCTGTGGGTTTTGGACATGTTTTCTTGAACCATCTCGAACTGGATGTTGGTGCCGCTGGCCTCTGGTGTCCCGTTCTGAGACAGGGTGAGAGGCGGGGGAGTTGCTGATGGCACCTGTTCCTTCTGGACCACGGGGTCGTGGCGAGTAAACCAGGTCAAACGACTGACCTAAGGAGCAGAGAGGAATCATGAGATGGGAGTGGGGTGGTGACTTCACCCTTTCTCCTCCTCCTTCCAAACAGGCTCAGCCTTCACGTCCAAGTCTCTTCCAGTCTTGCCCTCCCTTTCCACCTTCCAACAAGCTTCAGCTCCCTACACTCTTCAGAATTAATGGACGTTTCCCCCACTCATTCCCCATCTTTCTTTGAAAGCCCCAAATCTCTTGTGGGGATCTCACCCTCTCTCATTCTAGTAAGAGCTTAACCCCAGCCCAGGGGTGTGTGGGACCCAGCAACCAGCATTCAGCTCATCCATTTCTCTAGCCACAGGGACTGGGTTGGTTCCTGGGTGACCATGTGTCTTGGGCTGACTCCATCAATGGGCATGAGCAGCTTCACTGGAAATGCTGGGACTAAAATGCTTATGCTTTTGCTTAATGAGACTAAGAGAGATGTATCCTAGAAGCTGCTGACCCCATTAGGGGCTGGAGAATAGGAATAGAGGTGAGAAGGGACTGCCCTGGGGTCCAGTGCTTAAAAGTCCACCTTCCAATGCAGGAGACACAGGTCAGGTAACTAAGACCCTGCACACAACAGAGAAATTAAGCCCTCACACCGCAACTACCGAACCTGTGCACTCTGGAGCCCACGAGCCACAACCAGAGAAGGCCATGTGCCATTACACAGACCCAGTGCAGCCAAAATAAACAATACTTTTTTTTTTTTTAAAGAAGTAAGAGGTGACCAACAGATTCAGATGGTCTTTTTGGTGTTCTGAAATCAAATTCCTCCAAAGACCGAACCCTGGACTTTTCAGCTTTTTGAAAATCAGCCCTGGCTTTCTGTCACTAGCAGTGAAGGGTCTCAATGGATACAGGGTCAACCCCCAAAGTACCATTTCCTTGGAGGGCGGCTCTGTGAACCAGCTCACGGCACACACAGTGATCAGGGTGACCGATGACAGGATCATAGAGAAGTAAAGGTAGTGGACATCCTTTACCACGGCCGGGCGCTCATCCAGCTGGTCACAGCGAGGCTGCACATAGATGAAGTCCAGGATCAGCCGAACCAAGCCCAGGAGGAGGCCTAAGACGAGACCGAAGAAGGCGCCCTGCAAAGCAGAGCAAAGCCAAGCTGTCTTAGACACGTGCCTCCGGAAACCTCAGCAAGCTCTCTCCAGACCTGGTCTTTATAATGACGGTCACTGCAAGGGTCAGTGATTCAAAAAGGGTGGGAGCTACTTATCTGCTTATCTTTTACATACAATTGATCCACTACATATAATTCCCTGTTAATTCAGCTTCCCTTTTGAAAGACAAAATGCATCAAAGTAGAAGCTTCATTGCTTGTTTTCAAAAGCCAGGTCACACCCTCCCTGGATCCTTCTCCCCAGATCTCATCACCACCCCACAATGACACCTGACATCCATGTGTCCCCTCTCCAAGTCCCTCCTCTCCCATCCAATGGACTGAAGGGCTGATCCAGAGCTACCTTTTCATTGGCCCGCTTCCAGAAACATCCCATGATGAAGACCACAGCCACAGGTGGCTGTAGGTAAGAGCTGATGGACTGGATGTAGATGAAGAGCTGGCCGCCCTGGCTGGCCTGGACCACAGGGATCCAGAGGATGGAGACCAACACCAGAAGCAACACAAACACCCTGGTTCCGGATGGAGAGAGATACAACCCCCACGTTAGTTTTGTCCTCTCTGGATACTTCTCTTTTTTTTATAGCTTTCTGGAGTAGAATTTATATACCATAAGATTCACCCATTATGAGTGTGCAATCAAGAAATTTTGGTAAATTTATGGTCATGTAACAAACATCACAATCAAATTTTTGAATATATATCACTCCAAAAAAATCCCCTCGACACCAATTTACAGTTTATTCTTATTTCCAACCTACAGAAGCACTTCTATCTGCTTCTATCTCTATGAAAGAAAGTTTTAGCCCCTCAGTCACATCTGACTCTTTGTGATCCTATGGACTATATCCACCAGGCTCCTCTGTCCATGGGATTTCCCAGGCAAGAATGTTGAAATGGGTTGCCATGCCCTCCTCCAGGGGATCTTCCTGACCCAGGAATCAAACCCAAGTCTCCTGCTTTGCAGGCAGATTCTTTTCCATCTGAGTCACCAGGGAAGCCCCATAGGGGCTTCTGTATCTATAGATCTGCTTTTCTGGACATGTAACATAAATGGTATACAATATATACAGTACATGGTCTTTTGCAGTTGGCTTCTTTCATTTAGCATGTTTGGAAGTTCATCAGATATCATGTATCAGTATTTCATTCCTTTTTATTGTCTAAACATTCCATTGAGTGGATATGTCATTGTATAACTATTGTTGAAAACATTCCATTGAGTGGATACGCCATTGTGTAACATTATTTATCCTTCACCCATAAGTGGACATTTAGATTGCTTCTACTTTCTGGCTCTTGTAAAAACTGCTGCTATGAACACTTGTATACAAGTCTTTGTGCAGACATATGGTTTTATTTCTAGGAATGCAGTTGCTGGGTCATATGGTAAATTTATATTTAACTTTTTAAGAAAATGCCAAACTGTTTTTGAACAGTTGAAAGTCTGAGCCACCAGAGTGAGACCGTACCTGCCCACAATCATGAGCTCCTTCTCAGATGCCCGAGGCCGGAGATGGTTCCAGAGGTCCATGGTGAAGATGGTGCTGGCACTGTTAAAGATGGAGGTGAGGGAAGACGTGAGCGCTGCCACCATCACAGCCATCATGAGCCCGCGGAGCCCTGGGGGCAGAAGGGAGCTCTATGGGCCTTGGGCTTTTTCTGCCTTCACTGTTGACCCCATTGCCCAGGTCTGCAGCCAATCCGTCCTGAGAGGCCCAACACTGAGAAGGCAGAACGCAGGGCTGGGAGCCGAGAGCAGGGACACAGAGGTGGGTGAGGCACAGACCCTGCGTAGCCAGGGCCTAAACTTCAACTGGGGGCCCCTCGTATCTTGTCCCCCACCTCGGATCGGAGCCCAGCCAGGGTCCTCCTTTCTCGGGGGGACGCAGCTGAAGGGTGAGGGATCATTACCTGTAGGCAGGAGTTCCAGCACAAGTTTGGGATACGCGATGTCAGAGCAGCCGGCGGGGTTGCTGCAGACCTCCCGGCAGATTTCCGGGTCTGCACAGGCCACTTCGTCTGTGGAGGGAAGAAGCCCAGAGATGGCTAGATGGACGCTCAGAGCCCCAGGCCCAGCCAAAACACAGCTTGGCGCCGGTCAGCACCAGGAGACAGGGCTACTGCGTGTAAGTGTAGAGCTCAATGAAATAAAAAGGACCCTGGACTTGATTAAGGGCTTCCCAGTGGTAAAGAATCTGCCTGCCAATGCAAGAAACATGGGATCAACCCCTAGGTCAGGAAGATCCCCTGGAGGAGGAAAAGGCAACCCACTCCAGTATTTTTCATTGGGAAACCCCATGGACAGAGGAGCCTGGTGGGCTACAGTCCATGGGGTCGCAATAAGTCGGACATGATTTAGCGACTAAACAACAGCCTTAATAAACCATGGCCTTCTCACTTAACCATCCTGGACCTCAGCTGCTGTATCTGTGAGATTGGGGCCATAACGGGACTTTACTTCATAAGGTTATAATGAGGACTGAGATGGCATACATTAACACCCTTATCACAGAGTCTGAGACTTGGGAAGTGCTGAGTTCATTTCAACTACTTTTACTGTAACCTCAGTAAAGCTGACAGCTCACGGTTAGTCTCAACACAGTGTTCTACATCAGGTTCCTTAACTCCCTAAAAAGGACAAAGCAATTCACCTCTTTACCTAAGTTTACTGAAAGTGCAAAGGAGAATGCCATCATTCGACACACGGCAAATATTTTAAAAATTCCTCTTTTCCCCATGTCTTTCCCGATAGCACATGTTCCTCATTTTAGACTCATAAAAACTCTACCCACTCTGAAGCTTTCTCTCCCCCTCTTTCTCCGTTTCTGTATCAATTCTTTTCTCTTCCAAGCAGCATTCTGATTTTCTAATGTAAATCCATCCAGAATTCCTGGCACCTCTAGCTCTTCATCTTTACCATCCAAAGCATACAAGCATAGACCTCTTGCTTACAAGATAGAAAGAGATTAAAAAAAAATTATACTAATGTTATTATCTAGGGTGAAACAGATAACCTGCCCAGGTTGGGTACATGAGACAAGTGCTCGGGCCTGGTGCACTGGGAAGACCCAGAGGGATCGGGTGGAGAGGGAGGTGGGAGGGGGGACTGGGATGGGGAATACATGTAAATCCATGGCTAATTCATTTCAATGTATAACAAAAACTACTGTAATGATGTAAAGTAATTAGCCTCCAACTAATAAAAATTAAAAAAAAAAAACTATACTAACGTGTGGTACTGATAGGGACAGAGTAAAGGGACAAAGTAGATGATTATATAGTTAATCCCACTAGGGGATTGTAAGTAAAAAAATATATAGGAGAGCCTTGTAAGTTAATGATTGCTTAAGGGAGCAGGTTTGCTCAACCATAATACCAAGCAGGCTGGCTTAGCAATAAATCCAGGCAACAGAAGCATGGGACCTGCCCCCAAACAGTAAAACAATGGTGACACGAGACCCACAACCTGCCCAGTGAGCTCAGGAAGTTACTGATTCCTAAGACATGCTCTCTGCACACATGTAAAACAATAATCTGTGGACCCAGCTTGACCCCGTAGGGACGAGAAAATTCCCCTGTGCATCCTGGAGAAGGAGCTGATGTTGGAAGCAAGAAAGACAGGCAAGAAAGTCTACTGAAGAAAAACAAAGACGTTCCTCTCCTCCACCTCCTACTTTTCCTTTGGTTATGAGACTGTAGCCCAGTAAGTTCTCAGGGCATGGCACTCCCTCGCCCACCTGCTTGTAAGTCTCACAGCCGTTCTAGGAAATCACTTCTTATCCATCACTTTGCCTCCCACAGAGTTCTTTCTGTGCTGAGACATAAAGGACTGTGGTACCGGGAGCTCTCTGGAGCCCCCCTGAAATGCCACTAAACAATTTCAGTGCAGAGTAGCTGCTCAATACACTTCTGTTGGGAAGAGGCTAGCTATCTCATTCTTCAGAGAGGGGATGGGACCTGCTTATCATCGCCCAGCAAGGTCATGATGGAGACAGGTCTCCCAACTCCCAATCCAAAGTTTCAGAGAAGGCCCAGAGTGTAGGTAGTTTCAGTAGTCTGGCACGTGTTTGAATGAGAGCTTTCTTGTTACTTTCTGTCTTCTTCAGCTCCTCATATCTGAGCTGAGCCATGCTCTTCACCACCATCTCCATGCCAACACATCACACTCACCCCTGCTGGACCACTTATAAATCCTCATATCTCTTTTGCCAGCTGGATCTATTAATAGGGGTAACTCCCATAAACAACTCCCAGACCCTCCCTCTGTCTTTCTTCCTCATTCTGATGGGTGACACTGTCTTCCAGCCCACCTCTGATGGCAAGTGACAACTACCCCAAGACTCAGTTTAGGGGTGGGCTTGGAGCCCATCACTGCCCACGCCCATCTCCTCCCAGGTTTTGATGCAATACCAATGTCATGGTGATCATGTAGTTGAGGCCTCAAATTCACAAGTGGCCTCGAACACAGATGCTTGACAGGGTTACAGGAGGCAGATAGCTAGGTATGAGCAGGGAAACAGGGGCAGGGGCCAGGTGGCAGGAAATCTTGTAAACATCTTGTAAATGGCTTGGAAACAGTGAGGCAGATGAAGGAAAGCAGGAAACTCCATACTGACAGGAAACTACATATTTTAGGTGATAAGGGTTCAGGTAACAAAGAAAGGTGGGGAAAGGCAGGAATCTCCTGCCTCCAAAGATAACCTTTTGCTTAGTATGGTCTTATTACAATAAAATTGGCCTTACAGATAAGAAGTACCCACCATGCACTGATGCCATGACACTTCTGGTCTAAGCTAAATAGGGACAAAAATCCCTCCTCCCCTTGGGAAAATGGAACTGGGGTTAAAATCAGGGAATACAAATGCCAAACTCCTCCCTCCTCAGGGAATATTCTGCCCCTTCAATGAAGGGGTATGAAGCCCTTCAATGGATGATAAAGAAACCCAGGGTGGCGGCTCCTCACCTGTCTGCCCACTGTCCCCCTTGCTTAAATAAACTCTCACTTTATCTTCTCAACCTCTCTGCTTTGTCTCTGAAATCTTTCAGGATGAAGAAAGAACCTTAAATTCACCAGCAGTAATGTTATCTCCAGATGAGGTTGTATGCCTGGTCTTTATATTTGTATCTGTGTTAAAACTATTAGTTTAATAAATGTGGACACTTAAAGTATATCACAACTTTAAAACCCAATACCGTTGGTTCTTTTCTTTAATTAAAATTTTTATTGAAGTATAGTTGTATAATACAGAAGCTTACAATGTTTCAGGTGTATAGCAAAGTGATTCAGTTATATTTGTGTGTGTGTGTGTATATATATATATATATATATTCTTCTTGAGATTCTTTCCTTTATTGATTATTAGAAAATATTGACTATAGTTCGCTGTAGGCCCTTGGTGTTTATCTATAGTAGTGTGTATCTATTAATCCCAAATCCCTAATATTAATCCCAAATCCCTGCCCCCTAATATTTTTGATTCTTCTTTTTGCCACACTGCACAGCTTGCAAAGTTTTAGTTCCCCAACCAGGGACAGAACCTGGGTCCCCTGCAGTGGAAGCACAGAGTTCTACTCACTGGATTGCCAGGGAAATTCCAATTCTTCATTTTCTTTTTTAAGGTAGTATAAGACCTAAGAAATGAAAATCACTCCAGACCTCTTCATCCATTAGGAAGCCCAAGGACTAACTAGTCTTTGTAAAATTTCTCCACTCACAGCTATGTCTTCTCAAAGCTGGGACCCTTCCCTCCACTTACATCCATGAGTAAGAAAGGGTGCTGTGGCCACAATTAATAATACTAATAACAGGGGACCTCCCTGGTGGTCCATTGGCTAAGACTCCACGCTCCCAAAACAGGGGGCCCAGGTTCAAGAGCTGGCATGTTGCAACAAAGATCAAAGATGCCATATTAAGACCTAGCACAGTGAAATAAATATATATATATATATATTTAAAGTAATAATAACAATTGCTATGATATATATATATATATATATTTAAAATAATAACAATTGCTATGGAATAAAAGTCGATGCCTCTAAAACTCTGATTCAGTTTAGACAAAATTCAGATCACAGACAAAAAATGATATTTGACAGAAAGTACTGAGAAGGAACAATCTCTTTGAGAAAAATGCTTTTGAGAGGTCAAAGTTCTTGGCTTGTTTATGATTTGTCTGAGGAGGCTTTGGAGAAGATTAGAAAATAGTTACATTCCTGTGGCTAGAAGGCAGTAGGGAGCCTCCCAGGGTGGGGGCAAAGATCTTGTTTACATTCACATGTTATGGGTTCAAACTCTCACTGACCAAAAACTCCTCTCTTCAAGGGACACCAAGAAGGAGCAAGACTCCCCCTGAAATAATTCATTTAACAACCAAGTTTTTGTTTAACCCTCTAGGTATGCAAACTTCAACCATGAAACATGTGACACAAAGTTTATAATGCATGTTTAGGGCAGAAAAGTATGTTTGCTCATTCAAGCTGAAGAATATGTTCGTCACAAGGAAACTAGTTGGCTCAGCTAAGTTATAAATGAAATTGACAGCCTTGCGATTGTTAACCCACCATTCACTAATGTCTGCTCACATGTCTTGGGTGAATTAATCAACCATTTCATACATTGAGTGGATTCCCTTGTCAGATCCTATGATGCTTGAAATAAAGGATGGCTCTAGCAGAGTCCAATCCAAACGCAGAACCAAACCTCCTTCTTCCAAAATGCCAGCATTCCTAGAAGTTGTACTGTAACGCAGATGCTGCAAATTAACACTCTACACATACCTTCTCATGAGTTTTCAAAACTGTGGCAAAGACATTTCTATTATACCGATTTTTAAAATATTTATTTATTATTTGGCTGCCTCAGGTCTTAACTGTGGCACGCAGCATCTTCATTGCGCTGTGAGATTGTGGTGCATGGACTCTAATTGTGGTAGGGGAGCTCAGTTGCTCCATGGCATGTGGGATCTTAGTTCCTCAACCAGGGATCAAACCTGCATTGCAAGGCAGATTCTTAACCACTGCATCACGAGGGAAGTCCCTATTATACCTATTTTAAAGACAAGCAAATTGAGACCCACAGAGGCTAATTACATCCCCAAATCATAAAGCTAGGATCATGGCTAGGACTCAAAACCTTAGTTTATTCCAAAGCTTAGGTGGAGATGATTGGCTTTGTAAACAGGTACATTTCTAGACTCTTGTGTTTCATTGTTTTGAGGGTCATTTTGCTTCTTTCTTGGTTTCTACCAGAGTTCCTTTATGGTGGGTATTATTTTTCAGCTGGACTAAGTGGAAGACGATGTCGTCCAGGCTCATGAGAGCCCAGGATCAGAGCATCCTTTGAGGCAGTGCTGGACCCATCTGAAGATTCAGTAGGGAGCTGGTGGAGCTGAGATGGAGAGAAGAGTGGAAATGGGTAGGAACGGTGGCTTGGCCTGGCCCCTGGCCCTTTAGACCAGGGATTCTCCACCTTCTGCTGGGCCCCATCCCGAGACCTGGATTCAATAGGTCTTGGATGGGGTCTGAAAAGTTTGCCTTTCTAGCAAGTTCCAAAGCAACTCTGATGCTGCTAGACTGGGGACCACACTTTGAGAAGTTCTGATCAAGACTTTCAAATCCACCACGCCCACCTCACCATCTCCACCCTGCCTCACTCTCTCAAATTCATTTCTCACTTATTGCTGGTACCATAGGCTAGAGTGTTTTGATATTTATTTTCTTTTACTTTTTCATGAGTACCAGACTCATCTGAGATGTTACAACTCCCTAGAGTCACAGAATGTGGCATTATGTTTCATTTAATAATCATCACTGATTGGCTGACTGCTAAGAGTGAGGATCAGGGTCTTGTTATTGATCTTCCAGATATAGATCCAAAGCTTAAGATGTGATTTCCTGAGAGACAGTAGCATGATTAAGAGTCAGGTTTTGGAAGCAGATGCACCTGTCTGCAGGCACAGGTATACAGATCACCAGTTCCTGACATCACAATGACTCCCAATAACATTTTCCACTCCTAGGCCTGTTTAATCCCCATGCTGAAAACCTCATTCCTCTACCAAGTTTTTTTTTTTTATAGATAAGGCAAATACTCTAGAGGTTTGATACCCCAGTTTTGTTAAGAAAAGTACCCCACCAGGGGTTCCATGCTTCCCTTGTGGCGTATTAAAAAGCAGAGATATTACTTTGCCAACAGAGGTCCAACTAGTCAGAGCTATGGTTTTTCCAGTGGTCACGTATGGATGTGAGAGTTGGACCATAAAGAAAGCTGAGCGCCAAAGAATTGATGCTTTTGAACTGTGGTGTTGGAGAAGACTCTTGAGAGTCCCTTGGACTGCAAGGAGATCCAACCAGTCCATCCTAAAGGAAATCAGTTCTGAATACTCATTGGAAGGATTGATGCTGAAGCTGAAATTCCAATACTTTGGCCACCTGATGGGAAGAACCAACTCATTGGAAAAGACCCTGATGCTGGGAAAGATTGAAGACAGGAGGAGAAGATTGAAGGCATGACAGAGGATGAGATGGCTGGATGGCATCACCAACTCAATGGACATGAGTTTGAGCAAGCTCCGGAGATGGTGATGGACAGGGAAGCCTGGCGTGCTGCAGTCCATGGGGTCGCAAAGAGTCAGACACAACTGAGCGACTGAACTGAACTGAACTGAACTGAACTGAAGGGTTCCATTGGGCTGAAGTTGCCAAACCACTGAAGCGTGAGGGGAGCCCTCACGTGAGATTTCAGGGAGCTGACATCTGGGACAAGATTTAGCCTACTTTGTGGTTTTAAAATATATAAATATATAGTTGATGGACTTCCCTAGTGCTCCGGTGGCTATGACTCCACACTCCCAATGTAGGGGGCCTGGGTTCGATCCCTGGTAAGGGATCTAGATCCCACATGCCACAACTAAGTGTTCACATGCCTCAACAAAGACCAAAGCTCTCAAGTGCTGTAACTAAGGCCTGGTGCAGTCAAATAAATAGCTAAAATATATAGTTGAGGCAAAGCCCCGGATAGGTCTCCACTCTGTTTGACCTGGGACATCTATAGGATGTGCCCATTGAACCAACATTGGGGAATGGCACAGAGTCAGTAGATGCCAGAATGGAGATGCCTCAGTCGCATCACAAGGAAGGGACATCAGCCTCACTCACACGGGGCAGTCGGTAATATGTTTAGAACACTTCACAGGGTCTGCGACTCACAGACAATCTCTCCTCCCAACTGTCTTCTTACCAGGAAAGAGGACACGGCTGACCATCCCCGGGAACACCATGATGAAAAGGGGCAGCACCTTCAGGTAAGCGGCCATCAGAGAGCCTCCTTTGGCATGGGACAGATTCTTGGCAGCCAGAGTCCGCTGAACAATCACCTGGAAAACAGTGGGATGGTTGGAAGTTGAGATGACTTTCTCTTAAAGCAAACTAGATGTGCGTGGCTTCTTGGTAGGCATAGTAGACTCAGGAGTCCAGTGGATCTGGCTTCTCCAAAGAAGCATCTCTTTTATTCTCAATCCCTGTGATCCAATGGTCCAGCCGCAGGAGCAACACCAAGGCGGAGAAAGCAAGAACTGGAAGGAGGACAGAAGAGAAAGAGAGGTTCTGAGATATTGCTACCAACAGGATTGGTGTATCTGGGCTTATAGTTACTGCATATTGGTACACCTAGGTCTTAGCCTGACCCCCCTTCTCTCTGATGGGAGGCATAAGGTAGGTCTTATCAAGATTTCTCCCTTCAGAAGAGATAGGTGGTTGCCAGAGACAAAGGGTAGGGGTGGGCAAAAATGGGTGAAGAGGGTCAAAAAGCACAAATTTTATTTATAAAATAAGTCCTAGGGATGTAATATACTGCATGGTGACTATAGTTAATACTGGGTCGCCTATCTTTAAGTGGCTAAGAGATGACCTTAAAAGTTCTCATCACACCAAAAAAAGGTCTCATCACAAGAGAAATATTGTAACTATGTATGGTGATGAAAAACAACTACATTTATTTTGGTGATGATTTTGCAATATACCCAAATTTTGAATAGCAAAAAAAGATTTATCCACTCAAAGGGAATGACATGCTGTCGAGTGTTTTTTGAGTAGAAAGAAGACCAGCCCCCACAAATCCTACTCCAGCCTTCAGACTGCATCTACATGAACTCAGAATTTTCTCTACTATTTCCTGCGGTTTGGGGTCTTGAAGCATCTGGAGAAGTTGCAGAGACCTTTGGTGAATTGGTATTTAATCTCTAAGTCGTGTCTGACTCTTTGTGATCCTATGGACTGTAGCCCACCAGGCTCCTCTGTCCATGAGATTTCCCAGACAAGAATACTGGAGCGGATTGCCATTCCTTTCTTGAGGGGAGCTTCCCAACCCAGGGACCAAACCCATGTCTCCTGCATGGGCAGGCGGATGCTTTACCACTGGGCCATCTACCAGAACTTTTGGTTGGTTCCGTGAACAGTGGACAAGAGGAGTGAAATGTCATTACCACCACGGTACTGTGGTGAGCAGGACGAAGTTGGGATCCTTCCCATTTTTAGAAAGTGTTCATCAGTGGCATAGGCTTGCCAGAGTGTCCGGTGTCTTCTTTTGAAACCCACCCCCTCTCCACATGGCTATCCTGTCTCCTTGGGCACAGATCCTGCCTGATCCTGGGGTAGGCACGTGACCCCAGCTTGGCCAACCAGAGCCCTTGCATGGGGTTTTTGGATCTGGGACTTTGGGAGTTGTCAGTCTCTTTCCACTGGACCTCGATGAGAAACAATGAAGTCCACAGGTAAGAAATAAAGACCCTGGAGAAGGATACCAGAGTACGTTCCAGGAGTTTCTGAAGGCTAGGACACCTTCCTGCAGTTCATATTCCATGAGGGAATAAATTCCCCACCCTTTTCCTAAACTGGTTTAAATTTGATGCGTTTTTTTTTTTTTCCCCTGGGACTGCAACCAAGTGTTTCCTCACCTGCATGGATGATGATTATTTGTTTGGATGCTGTCAGTGAACGAGTCTAAAACATGGGATCAGCTTATTTGAGGAAGGGTGGGGGAACAGTGAGGCTCCCTCTATCCAGAGCTGGGGACTTAGCTGTCCTTGTCTAGAAGCTGATTTAACTATTACCTATCATTTCTCATAACTCCAAACATACACCCATTGGGCTTTCTAGAATACTTAAGAATGTGGTAGTTTCATGTAACAATATAGCACTTATAGAATACTTTTTAAAAAATGGTTTCATTAAGATGCCGAAGGGGCATCCCCAGTAGCTCAGCGATAAGAATCCGTCTACAATGCAGGAGGCACAGGAGATTCAGGTTGAATCCCTGAGTTGGGAAGATCCCCTGGTGAAGGAAATGGCAACCCACTCCAGTATTCTTACCTGGAGAATTCCATGGACAGAGGAGCCTGGTGGCTATGGTCCCCGGGGTCACAAAGAGTTGGACACGATGGAGCAACTGAACACAGTAGCTCAAAGGTGCGAGGAGAGGCATTCAACCTTCAATCCTTGTCAGTCCGTCTGGAAGCAGATGGGAGAGTTTATAGCTTTGGAAAGCCTAGCCCTTGAGATGGCAGGTTCAAAGCTGTGACTGAAAGGAGTGTTGGCTTTTATTCCCATGAAGTGGAGACTCCAGAGGTGAATTTAAGAGGCAGCTGAGTTTTAAGAGAGTTGTGCTGCGCAAAACCCCACAAGCCCTGTGAAGAGTGTGTGGCTCTGCATGACAACCCCCAGACCCAAGTAATGGAGCAGAGCTCATAGAAATGTTATGAAAATGAATGAGTTAATACATAGGAAATGCTTCAATCAGTTACTGGTAAATGGTGCAGTTATCAATAAAGGTTTAAGTGTCATTACTTTATTGACTGTGATCTGCCCTTCTGTCTCTGCACAGAAAGATCTAAAACACGCTCTCAATCAGTACACCATGCATGCCACTTGGACTTTCTTCTGCTCTAAAGTGAGCTACACAGGGAGCTGACAAAAAATGTGCATCTCCTAGGGCAGCACCAGCATGATGAACTAACACATAACACAGCCTTTGGGCTCCACAGAATCCAGTTCAGCAGCAACAAGACCGAACGCAGTGGGCTCCAAAGAAGGCTTGGTTTTCTGGGCTCTCTTGCCCTCCCTCGCATCTGGAAGATGATCGAGTCATCGTGGATTAAGTCCCCAGGCTCTTGAACAATACAAGGTGGGTTGAAGGTGGGCTTCAAGGGATGTACACTGAAATCCCAGCCAGCAAGGGTCTGAGGCATCTCAAGGAAATATTCATATCGATTAATAAATATAAGCTGGTGACCCGTGTCAAGAGCAGCAGCATAAAACCATAGGAAAAATGTAAATGATTTTAATGGTTTATTAAATGCCCCTGCAACGGAAAGGACTATGAGCAAATTTCCAATGTTCTCTCTTTTGTGATTACTAGTAATCCCACTCATGAGAAAACAGAGGCTGAAGCTATTAAACAAAGTTATGCCACTTGAGCTTGAGTCCAAGCCTATAAAGGTTGAAAAAGCCAAGGCTCTTAGCCTCCATCTGAACTGTCTCCCAGGCACTCTCCAGCCCAATATTTGCTAAGGAAAAGATCAGGGGAGGAGGGCAGGAGGGGAGAGTGATTTTCTAAAGGGGCAATATTGCACCCATCTCTGCCTTGGGTTTTAGCTCTTCACTCAGAGGAATTCTCATCCATGGGGTGACCAAGGTTCACTCTCTGCAGTGCCTCCTGCATCAATTCAGTGGTCTGACTCCATGATCATTATTTTAGCTAAAGTCTCATCAGCTCTGAATATGAAATACAGCTTCCAAAATGGCACACAAATCGCTGATCTTTAATGTAATGGAAAAACCGATTTCAACAGATGACGTATTCACAGGGCTTGAAATCTGAGAAAGTACAAACAGGTGTGCAGTGAAATGGCTCCCGTCCTTCCTGGCACACCTACCCCAGGAAGTAATCGCCCTCGGTTTTAGGTGATCCATCTGGAGTTTCCTTCAGCACACTCATGTGTGTGTCCCTGCTCATTCAGTCGCTCAGTCGTGTCTAGCTCTCTGCAATCCTGGTGGCTCTGTAGCCCACCAGGCTCCTCTGTCCATGGAATTCTCCAGGCACGAATACTAGTGAGGGTTGCCATGTCCTCCTCCAGGGATCTTCCCAACCCAGGGATCGAACCAGCATCTCTTACGTCCCTGCATTGACAGGTGGGTTCTTTACCACTAGCGCCACCTGGGAAGCTCTTCAGCAAATACAAGCAAATGCAAATTACGGAGTCTATCCCCACCTCACCTTTTAACACAATAGGCTTATTTTACCCATAGCAGTGTTTTTTGCCTTTTTTTTTTTTACAGCAGTTATATATTTGCTTTAAGGGATTGGCTTTGGTGGGTCCCTCTGCCCCGAACTCTCTTCACTGACAATCACCAGAACTTGTTCTCCTCCTTTGCCCAAAGGTCACTTCTCAATCATGATTCCCCTGACCACCCTATTTTGAACATCACTCTCACATTCTCAACCTCCTTTTTTATTTTTTAATGACAGTTATCACCTTGTAATGTTCCATTTACTTATTTACTGCCTGCCTGCTTCCATCAGAAGAAAGTGAG